AAACAAAGCCTTTGTGAAAGAAGGACTTGAGCTGGGTTTTAAAGGAATTGAGGAATAAATCCTATATGCAATGAAGAATTGTTGAAAATGTCCAAGTAAGGCAATAAGATGATTAAATCAGTGTTTTAGAAAGATATATGTACTAGTCACAATGACTATGTTCACCCTGGATAACTTGTCTGAAAAATTTTCCTCTTCCTCATTTACCCCCTCTCTCCCTGCCAACCATCCCTATTTCCTGTGTAATTTCTATTGGTCCTTAAAATTAAGTCTGGGTTTTAGCAAGCCTTTCTGATCTCTTCAAGCAAGATTATACAAGCATCTTCCCTTCTCCCCGTTGGGAAAAGTTCTAGTACCTTGTGTTTATTTCTGTGTAGCAGTTACATTAAAGTTAATTGTTCATCTTCCCCTCTGACCCATAAGCTACTTGAAGTGAAGAACTGTGCATGTTTCTTCTCCGTGACTGCAGCAAAAAGCATGTATATAAAAAAATAGTAGCTATTCAATGAACACTTGTTATTTTAAACTGAGTAGTGGTGATGTCCACGATTTGTTGAAGAGGGAAGGACTAAAGCCCAAAAGATCAGTTAAGAAACCACTGCAACAACTCAGACATTAAGTAAAGAGTGTTTAAAGGGAGCAGTTTCACTGGGAATAGTAAGGAACTGGTGAAGTTGTTGGAATATGTGACTAACTAGATACGAGTTAAGAAGACATAGGTTGTTTGGGGGATTCGGGCTCAACTTACTAGAAAACAAGAGGGCTGTGAATTCTTGCTCTTTTGTAGTACTCCTTACCCTGGGCATCATGGACTTATAGAGAGGTCTGGGATATACCTCCAAGGGTCCTTGAAGCCCTGAAATTATTTGCAAGTTTATGCATGTAAGGTTATCTATGTATTTTCCTTGGGAAAGGTTTTATAGTTCTCACTGAATTTTTGGAAGTGTGGGCCTTTAAAGTTGTTAAGCACTACAGTTCTATTCGAAAGTATAGTACTATCTTAATAATAGCCATGGTCTTTCTGAGAGATATCATTCTTTAAAAATATTGGCTGATGTGGTATCTCATAGCACTTTTTGTCAACTGTTGAAAACAGATTACTGAAAATAATATTGAAGACCCAGAGCCCTGTACTTTCTTACTACATAACTTTAAGCACATTACTTTACTTTTCTAAGATTTTTCTTCTACTGTTAAATACAGTAATAATAATACATGCTTCTTAGTGTTGGGATTCCATGAGATAATGTGTATACATTTTTTAGTATTCAATATTAACTAAATGTTATTTGTATTATTATTCTCATTTAATTCTAACACTTAGTCGCCATACATTATAATGCCAACATTGTAATAGATGCCCCCATCATGTCTCACTTAATCCCTCAATAAATTTGATAAAGATCTAGTTTTATATTCAGGTTACAGATAAGATGGAAACAGGTAAATACCTTGCCTGTAGTCACACAGCTAATTTAATGGCCGGACTAATACTAGAAGATGTCAGCCAGGAGTCTGAAAACAGGTGACTGTGGGGTAAGAATGAGAGGGAGCACAGAACAGAACAGCCATCAGTGACAGGGTGAGCAGTAGGGTGAGAGATCTGGAGTACCCATACCAAGGAGAGTTTTCAAAAGATATAACCCTTAACATAGGACATAAAGGGTCATCTTTTTGCTGGGTGGAAATTAATTCTAGGCTTGGCCAGCCTTGATCTATAAGTGGGTGAATGTAACTTGTGTGTGGCTGAGAGGAAGGCAAAGAAAATGAGACTGGATATGAGAATAGATACATCTTGACCAGCTGCAGTAGTGATTACAAAATGTTCATTTACTTTGACCTACTGGATATGGATAAAAATTGGAATACTAGGTGTACATTAAACATTATGTAGATATATTTCATATGTAGCAGAAAGTATCTTAAATTCAGCCTGTGAGGTTAATAGATTATTTTAATTATTACACACACACACACACACACACACACACACACACCATGAGGTAATTGGAAAGTGACCAGAATTTACTGTGTATTCTCATAACCATCTAGGACTGCCACTGTCAAAGACTATGTTGCATTTATCTCCTTGTGAGCCACCCTAAGATTTGGTTTGGTTGGTTCCAGCTATGATCAGTACAAGTGATATGGTTTGGATTTATGTCCCCACCCAAATCTCATGTCAAATTGCAATCCTCAATGTTGGAAATGGGGCCTGGTGGAAGGTGATTGCATCTTGGGGGCAAATTTCCCCCTTCAGTGCTATTCTCGTGCTAGAGTTTTCATGAGATCTGGTTAATTGAAAGTGTGTAGCCCCTGCCCCCTATCTCTCTTCCTCCTACTCCAGCCATGTAAGACATACCTGTTCCTCTTTGCCCTCAGCCATGATTGTTAGTTTCCAGATACCTCCCCAATAACCAACAAATGCCAGTATTGTGCTCCCTGTGCAGCCTTTGGAACTGTGAGCCAATTAAACCTCTTTTCTTTATAAATTACCCCAGTCTCAAGTACTTCTTTATAGTACTGTAATAATAGCCTAATACATCAAGAATGACTCAAGCCCACTGTAGCAAAGCTGAGATTTCAGATAATAATAACACAACCAAGAGGGAGATTGATCTAAGACTTTTTTCATTAGATAAGAACTCTGGAGATAGGGGAAAAGAAGGGACATTCTCCAGTAGGGCCAGGAGGCCAGAAGTAGGTCATTCTTAAAACAAAAATTAGGATTGTTTCTCATTTTTCTGCAGCTTTTACCTGTGTAAAATTAGGTTCAGCCCAATGGTTACATTTGGGAGTGAATTACTACTGTCTTTTAAGCAAATAGATATTATTTGTATATGCTAAAAATACATTTCATGATTTAGTTGCTAATTGTCTATCTAGCATTTTGCTGCTCATTGTTTTACCTTGGCCTGCTGATCTTTTGACAATTTTAGAGGAGGATCCAGGAAAAGGGAAAATAAACCACATCTGGGAGAAATATGAGGACTCATAAACTTTGGAAGAGGGACATTATATATATTGACCAATATGGTGGTATTGAATTACATTTTGATTAGATGGTAGTGGCAGCACATTAGCTTTGACTTCAAATGGACCTGAGTTTAAATCATAGCTCTGGAACCCATCTTGACCTTGACCCTGGAAATTAACCTCCTCAGGCTTCTATTTTCTTATACATTATTGGAAATAATAATGCTGACTCCCTTAGATTTTTGTGAAGATTAAAAACTATAATTTATATTAAGTACCTAACACATGGTAGTGCTTCTTCGCATGTGACTATTCATGGCTCCAATAATTATGGATAACTAGGAATTGGCTGTAGATTATACTTTCATTAGATGGCTGAATGTGTTTCTATTGCTGTAGGTTTCACTGGATTATATTAGAGCAGGACTGTTACTTAAATGACTCTCCAGTGATAATTAGGCATTATAAGAAGTTGTAATAAGTCTTGCAGTATTCCTGTCATTATCCTAAAATTATTGAACTATTATGGCCATTTGTAGGTAGATTAGAACAAATATTCTCCACCCTTTGAAAGCCCATACGGCCTTCAATTTGAAGACTGTGGTAATAAAAACAGGAAAAGAGCCCAACTTCCAAACCATCATGTTGCGTATTATCTTTCTTAGTAGGAAGTTACAAGGAAGAAGTTGAAAACAGTTGGCGTACAGTAAGCCATTTTCATTATCAGCAGATGTTAACGTGCATGTTGAGTCCATTCACATGTAAACAGGTTCTGAATGAGTTACCATCTTCCAAAAGTTCATATTATTTTACTAAGAAATATTTAGTCCCAGTAGAGTTCTGCCACAGCACGCTCATTGTTTTGGAGAATTATGATTAAGAAGCTCATTCAGTATTTGCCAATTAAAACAATGATTTAATTAGACTGATGGCCCCACCTGATTTCTAGCTCTAGATATGGGCCTACCTGCTGAATGAACGGGGATCCTTGAGCAGTAGTGTATACATTCAACTGGGGAGCACAGGGACCAATGCCCAGAGGGCATAGATGAAGCTCTTCAGTGGGAATTGCTGGGAATTTTGCTGATGCAGGAAATACATGTAACTCCCTGTTTAAGATTATTACTTGTGTCTTTTCTTTCATAAACAGTTCCAATCTGGCTTTCTTTAAGCTTCTATGAAGTCAGTAAATACTAGCTTCTTCCCCCCCTCTCCCCTGCCCCTGCTTCACCCCTCTGCCACCTTTTTATCTAAATGGGAAAGTGAGGTTTAGTGATTGCTTTTGACTTGATCAGTGGCTGAGAAAATCTTTTGGGATTATCTTTAAATTCCTTTTTCATAGGTGAGGCAAATTAAAGCACAGACTAGTAACCCAGACACTAGCATCCTAACTTATGGCTCTGTATTGGAAGCACTGGCTAGTTCCTGTACTTTTTTTTTTCCTGTGAAAGAAATCTGGGTCCCATTCCTTTATCCTTTTACAGGGCCTATTCAGAAGATATTAGGCCTGTCCATAAACTGAAGAATGTCACATCGACTGGGACAATGGGCAAGATGAATGAGAGGTTATAAATGCTTCTCTGTTCCTTAATAGTTAACAGTCTTCTCCAAGGACTGTGGACTCCTGTTCCCTGCTCACCATGTCATGGAAATCTGCTAGGAACCATCTTTGATGGTGTGAAATCTTCAATACCTAATAGGGAAATTTGAGTCTTAGAAAGGAGCCACGCAATTGAGACCTTAGAATTCTCACCTAGTTTTGTTTGGTAATTGCTACTTCAAAAAAATACAGTTTCTGTTCCCTCTTTCTTCCAATCATTTATCTGGCAAGTAAGATACTAGCAACCTAGAATTGATTGTTGGAGCTGGGGAAAATGTTGTGAAATGTGAGAAAATGTAATTGAGATAATAAAAACAAAATATTTTATAATATATTGTCCTCCAAGTCATCCATTAAAAAAATATTGGTAGCAAAAATGTGCAGTGTTTTAAGACTTTTCTTTTTCTTCTTTTTTAAATAACAGATTTAAAGTAGAACAAAAAGTAGACCTCAAAGATGTTTTGTATTCTTTGAACATAACTGAGATATTTAGTGGTGGCTGCGACCTTTCTGGAATAACAGGTAGTATGATAAGTATTTCTTATATTATCATGTTAATTTGTTTTGTTAGGACTACATTAACTGAGCTTAAAACTCAAAGAGCATTCAGCTCTGCTAAATATACGCACAGTGAATAAATGTCATAGTAGTCATGTTGAGCTGTCTGTAAACAAGCCCATTATTTTATGTTTAAGTAGTTTTTCTTAATGAAAGTCAAAAAAGCATTTTAGAATATTAGATAAGCACTCTAGCTATATTTCTAATAAAATTACGTAAGTAAAAGTATTATATGGGTTTTGTATTTCTGCCCAGTTTGGATTTCCTAGTCTGAATAACGGGAATTACAACTTTGAGTCTTTCATCTAAGCAGAGCTAATATAGCTCTTACAAAGCAATTTGCAAGTATTAATTCACTAATATGAGAACACATGAAATAGTCATCCATAAGCTGCTGGATGATGAACATAATCAAGAAACTGTAACACTACAGCTTGCAGATTTAGCAACAGAGTCTTCTGGGCTGATAACAAATCTGAGAAGATGGTGCTCTTATGCTAACTCACACCAGGGGAGTCCTGCATGGTTAACACGTTCGCTTGCACAACAAAGTCAAGACAGTCTTTTAATTCTTCTAGTTTCAGTGGTACTCACTAGTTAAAAAATAAGTACCTAAAAAAAATGGATAAAGAGGGCCAGTTTTTCCCATGTTACTTACCCTCTTTTAAATCCAATCTTCTGTTCTATAAGAAGGGGGCTAAACTTGTCTGTCTGGTGGGGTTTTGAATCATAACATGAAATCTTGCAGAAATGTTTTACATATTTCTATATAGCTATCTGGGCTTTGAAAATATATTGTTAATTTAGTCATCGCTCATCAATTATGTGGGCAAATGAATAGAATGAAAAACTTTCTGATGGAGGAGTTGAATGAGGTCACAAATATCAAAATGTTCATTATCACCTGCACACATGGTGTAGCTACTTGTTCACACACGGACAGATAGGTCTGCCTTCTCTGACAATTTTATCAGCACTAGATATGAGGTGGTCAACATTAAATACTTCAACAGGATGCTCTGTAAGTGTGCTCTGAGACACAACCACCTCAATAATACAAACCATTTTTCATGCACTTCTTCTTCTGAAACTTCTTTCCAGTCATAAGGAGATCACTCAATATGCCTCAGACACTTCAAACAGCCACTTGTTCTGCAAATTCCCAGCAATTTGTGACTTCTATAAAATCTCCTGTTACAGGTAGATTTTTAAAGAAAATACTTCCAAAGTGTTTCATGAAAGACTTTATTCAAGAAAATAACACTGAGCAGTCCAGCATTTTCTGTTCTTTCCCTGTTGAGTTACCTATTTGAGTTGTTTTAACCATTTTTGTTCTGTCTTATTTCCTAGAATAGAATAGTCATAGCCAATGCTGATACCTCAGCTTTTAGCTAGGAGCACAGTAAATTCTCTGCTATCTCTACTTATCAGTTCGTGCAATAGACATTCACTAAAGGCTACTATGAAGCTACCCAACTATTATAATTATATGGTTCACAAATTTTGAATAAAATGTTTTTATAGAGTTACTTTGGAAACTTTGAGAAAAATATTTAACTTCTCACTTAGTTACTACTCCTTGTGTAGCCCCGTAGTAAAATAATTAACTTTTCTGAGTCTAAACATTCTAATCTGTTAAATGAGATAATGTAGTGACTGGGGAAATAAATAAAATAATGTATGTAAATCATGTAGTTTAGCATGTGGCACATAGTTAAATATAAAGCAAGTGGAAAGAGTATCACCTTAATATTTACTTGCACATCTTCTAGCAAATGTATTGTTTTCTTGTTCTCCTAATTTAATAACAATGTACTTAGAATTTTCATTTAAAATTTAGGGCAAATAATTATTTTGAAGGTATAATGAATAGGTTTATAGAGTCCACATTGTTACTTCTAACCTGTTATATTTCAGGTCCTGTTCTTTTCCTAGGACTGAGTTTTGTCTATAGCGAGATGGAACAAAGGAGACGAAGGTGTTTACTCTAATAGCCGGGGAGTCATTTGGGCTGGTGCCGTTGCTAAACTGGTTAAAATTCTTCACTTCTCCCTAAGCTGCTTTTTGGTTGTTGCTCTTGGTGTGGGCCACCAGGTCATTCCCTCTGTGTTTATTGATCTTACGCCAGGAAATCCTGGGAGAAGAAGGTGCTTATTTGCCTGACCTTGAGAGAAATATTCTCTTGCATTTCAGTTAATTCACACTAATAGTGTGGATACCCATCTTTCTCTATTTTACAGGTTTCTATCACTAGACATATTCAGATGCATTGACTTATTTATTATTGACTTACATATTACAAATATCTATTGCAAGCCAACTGGGAGCCAGGCAGTTTTCTAGGGCATGCTTCCTTTGTCCTCTGAGGAACATTGTCAGCTCTATCTTGTCTTGCAAAGCCAGCTTGACATGGCTTGTGGGCTCCTGGTTTCACTTCTTCCTTCTTGAGGGGACTTTCCTTACAAGTCACTCTACCAGAAACACTTCACATATACAACAGTTCCACCAAGAGGAGAAATATCATTCACTCTCAGCTTGTACTCACCCCAGAACAAAACACTGTAAGACTCTATCTTATCCTGAAAATTTTAACAGGTTTTAAAGCATATCTCTGAAGTGATTTTATAACAGGTGACACAGAAGTTCCTTAGACTTTGATAGCTTTCCCAGATTTGAAGGAAAGTACATTTTGTTTTAAACTCAGATCAAAACTAAATACAGAATATAAAAGGCACTTTGGCTTTGAGATTAAACATACAGAGTGGGATTAATTCAGATCTGGAAAGCCTCTTTCATTCTGTCTATAGAAGATGGCTAAGGGAGGAAAAGCTATCCCTTCAAATATTTCACTTAGTTGGATACTTGATTTGAGGCTTACATCATTTACCTTTTATGTCACAGAAAAACTTGATCTCTCTATCTTTGTATATATGTCATCTCTGGAAGAGCTAAACCTAAACCACCTTTATCTGTAGCAAATTGACTAAGTGGGAAAGAATGAATTTATTTGTTTCTCTGTCTTTGATCATTAGAAAAGGTACTTATGCCAGGCACGGTGGCTCACACCTGTAATCCCAGAACTTTAAGAGGCAAAGGCGGGTGGATCACCTGAGGTCAGGAGTTTGAGACTAGCCTAGTCAGCACGGTGAAATCCCATCTCTACTAAAAATATAAAAATTAGATTGATGTGGTGGTAGGTGCCTGTAATCCCAGCTGAGATGAAAGAACTGCTTGAACTTGGGAGGCAGAGGTTGCAGTGCGCCGAGATTGTGCCACTGCACTCCAGCCTGGGGGACAGAGCAAGACTCCAACTTAAAAAAAAAAAAAAAAAAAAAAAAGAAGGAAAGAAAGAGAAAATGTAATTAATCTGGAACCACATAGGTAATGGCTCTTGATTTTAACTCTTAAATACACTTTCATATTTTTTACCAGATTCATCTGAAGTATATGTTTCTCAAGTCATGCAAAAAGTTTTCTTTGAGATAAATGAAGATGGCAGTGAAGCTGCAACATCAACTGGTAGGACGAATGATTTCTGGCCAAGCTAGGAGGAAAGACGGGGAGAGGATAAACATTAGGGTGCTGGCCCTTTTGAAGTATTATAATCCCCTTTTTCTCTTCTGCTGTCTAATACACTACAGGAGGGAAAAAAGGAAACGGTTGTAGAAGCTGTTCATATTTCTGTTCAGTCACAGCATAATATAAAAAGGAAAGGAAGGGTTTTGATTAAGAGTTGAGGCCTATCTACTGGTATTTGCTCATTTGCAAAACTGGATTACCTTCGAATTACCAGATAGGACCTGTGGAGAAAACTTTAGGGCTCAAATATAAAATCATTATTTTTTAGGAATGCTCACCCTTACATAATTGTATTTTATTTCATTTTTTCACTACACCAACTTTGTCCCCACTTTGCTCATTTGATTCTTATTATTATCTCTATGGCAGTGGCTCTGAAACTTACCCTGCACATAAAAATCACCTGGGAAGCTTTAAAAATGCCTATGCCCAGTCCACACCCCAAAATAATTAAATCAGTATTTTTGGAAGTGAAATTCAGAGTCCAATATTTTCTTAGGTTTTCCTAAGCAATACCAATGTGCATCCAAGAACCAGTGCTTCATAGTGGCTTGTATCTTGACCTTTTTATTACAAATGTAGTGCACAGACCAACAACAGCACCACTTAGGAACTTGTTAGAAATGCAAAATCTTAGGTCCAAAACCTAGACCTATTGAATCAGAATCTGCATTTTGCAAGATCACTAGGAAATTTATTTGTACATTCTAGTTTGAGAACCACTCTTCTAGGCCATATTTTCTTGAACAAATGACATTTTAAATAGCATCTATGCTGCATAGAAATAATGCTTGAAAAATAATTAGAAAAAAGCCTTAAAATTAATTAGAAATGGACAAGCAACTTTAATGAATTCCTCTTAAATCTATTTTAATCCCTTATATGATTTGGATTTTAATATTTAAAAGCTATTTATCATTTAAAATGTCTTACTGATAAGTATATAAAAATTGATATTCATTTATTAAATTCTCGATTAATTTGCAATGTTGCATCGGGCCAATGGATTTTGACATCTGGATGAAACACACTGGACGCCATTACTATTTTGTCATCTCCTGAAGGAATTTGCATTGCTGTGCTCAAGGAACTAGGATTGTAGGGGATGAGCTATATTAACATTTGAAGAAGTCAAAAGGTTATATTTGGATGAAATTGCTAGATCATGTAGACAAATTTTCCAGCTGCTTTTAAACAGTACTGAAAGAGTCCTTATAGATCTTTGTTTGATCTCATTATATTGGTGTACAGACAGGCCCAGCAATGGGAAGTGGCTCACCTGAGGTTAGACTATTGATCAACAGCAGAATTTGAACACAGCTCCTGTTCCCTGACTGTAAGTTCAGAGCTCTTTTTGCTGTTGCCCACTGCCACTCATTTTAAGTCTAAAATTTTCTAGGATTCTGTAACAATCATTAAGAGAAGGCAGATGAATCAATAATGAAACTCCTCAGAATAGTGAGCCTGGGTATTTTGACATTCAGAAATTCACTCTGGGACTGCTCAAAAGCAAAAACATGCAAGTATTCACTGTAAATGGGAATAGGAGTAAAACTGACCTTGCTTTTGAATTTTTCTTAATAACTCAGATGTAAGCCTATATTCACTGGTTATTTGGGAAGCATAGCCTTGATATTCTGGATAGGAGAGTGCCATTCATATTATCATACAAAAATTATATTTGACTGTTTTTCAATTTTAAGGATACATTGTGATCTTATTTTTCCTGGAGTCTGAAAATAACAGTACAAAATAATTGTATTATTGGTAAAGGCAATCTCTGAATTGAGCATAAAAATATTTAGTCTAGAAAGAAAAAATAACCTTTTATATTTTCCCATTCTAATATTGACAAATGCTGTAATAGAGCAATATAATATAAATTATCATAGAAAGTAATTTTTAAGTCAGCAAATTTCTGCTTCAAATCTCATAATAAAAATCTCACACATATTCACTGCACAAATCCTAAAATCTCTAAGCTCACAGAATAATTTTGAAAAAGTCAGTTAAAAAAAATTAATTTGAGCTCGGATGTGATTACCACAAACTTGAAGTTTAAAAACGAGGTGCAAACATACCTAAATAGGAATTAGGAATTACAAACATTATAGAAATAAATCATATAATACAAATAAAGAGTGAACAGAAAATTACTGTTTAAAAGATAAATTTTTTCAACTGCTTTCACTAAATTGAATCTGGTATCTGGCTTTCTTCCTCATTGAGCATAAATATAAAAGTTAGAATTATTCTATGAGTGACCTAATATTTATTCTTCAGTACTTTGGTTTTTAAATTTACTGCAAATTCCTCTGTATTTAGAAAATTGTTATTTTTTCACAGTGTTAACTCCTTACACAAAAGGACTTTTTCTATCTACAAAATGTATTATGAAAATACTTACATTACTGATCTTTTCAATGCAAATATCTAAATAACTGCTGCCTCTATTTTATAGGTATACACATCCCTGTAATCATGAGTCTGGCTCGAAACCAATTTATAGCAAATCATCCATTTCTGTTTATTATGAAGCATAACCCAACAGGTACTTTTTTGAGAATTCTTTGGGGGAACTGATTATGTTAAGCAGAACTAGTTCGTTTCTAATTGGAATGTACATAGCTGAAGTCATGTGTTCTTTCAGTGGGTATTTGTTAAGTGCATTTTACTTACCAGGTATTGTATTTTAAGAGATGTCAGGGGCCTAAAATAAGGTGGTGGTAATAATAGCTGCCATCATGGCTATTATATATATGTGGTAGCCATTTTATATAACTACTGCTAAAACTAAAACCACTTCAAAAAATTAGACATTTGATAAATAAAGACACAAAAGCTCAGTGAAAGATTGTATAGTTTATCTCAGGTTATATAACTTGAAAGTGTCTAACTGGGAATGCAGGTCAACTCTCTATGATGATACATTGGGGATGGAAATTGAGAGGTGTGGAGTTGTGAAAGAATTCAGGGATAGATGTGAAAACAGTAAGTGACTAGTGTAGGTTCTGAGGGGAAGGGAGGAGTCTAAGGTAATTTCAAGTGAGTTTAGAAGTAGCAGACAGGATTGGCATTGGGCACAGTGTCAACACAGGGAAATCCAGATTGTCTGGATAGTTGCTGCAGCATTTTCTCTTGTGAATAAGAGAAGCCAGAAATGTGAATACAGTGGGAAAATTGTCAGGTTTATGTTTAGGATCCCTCTGCAGTCATACTGCTCATGTGAGAGTTACCATGGGATAGTAGAAATTATATTTTACTCATCTCTGTATTCAGCCCAATATTTGCCAAAATGCCTTGCACATAATATTAGTTTCCCTACAAATTGAGGTTATAAAATTGGGTTGAGCTCAAGTTCCAGCTGAATTTACTATCAGTTGTGAAACAAGTTGCTTGTCCTTTCTAAGCCACACTTTCTCTATATCTTATTTGAACTTAATAGTAATAGTACTTGGGCCATGTGCGGTGGCTCATGCCTGTAATCCTAACACTTTGGGAGGCTGAGGCAGGTGGATCACAAGGTCAGGAGATGGAGACTATTCTGGCTAACATGGTGAAACCCCGTCTCTACTAAAAATACAAAAAATTACCTGGGCATGGTGGTGCACACTGCAATCCCAGCTACCAGCTACTTGGGAGACTGAGGCAGGAGATTCACTTGAATTCCAGAGGCAGAGGTTGCAGTGAGTGAGACCGGGCCACTGCACTCCAGGCTGGGCAACAGAGCAAGACTCCCATCTAAAAAAAAAAAAAAAAAGTAGTACTCATCTCATAGAGTTAAATAGAAGACTTTTTGAAACCTGTAACACTGTGCCTGGCACATACTAACTGTTCATTATGAATAAATTAATAAATATGAATGAGTGAGTGAATAAAAGAAGAAAGGAAAGTGAAAAAGTATAAAGTCATTTACAGGAAGAAGAGACATAGTTAATCTCAGAATCTGAATCCGTTAGGTTAACTAGGATGCTAATATTATTGGCTCAGTAAGGGATATATCAGTCTTTTTTGGCTCAATGAAACTAATGCTGAGTGACCTTTCTGAAAGTCATATCTTAAAAACAATGAAACAGTTTTAGAATTGACGAGAGTGCATTAACACAACTTCAATTGTGGTAATGGATGTGTCAGTGTTCAAATGTATTCTGTCATTTGATCTGTATATTTAACTTTTGGATAATTCTAATTCATTACAGTTAATGTATAATTATGTCCATGGAGACAGAAAGAAAAAAAGCTGCATTGAACATCAATGCACAAGTAAATCACGGCATTTAGAATAATTATGCTTGACCCTATTTTCCAAGTTGATGACTTGTCATATGCTAAGGCCAAGTAACAGTTATCAGTAAAACAGCAGTAAAAATTCAAAACCCCAAATAACCTACTTATTTATTTATTTGTGATAATGCTTAATGAGCAGATCTTAATGACAGTTTGAACTGTTTTATGTTCTCTATTGTAATGAGACTTTCTAAACTAGGGTTACTCCTTTAAAGTATTGTTTAAAATAAATGGCCACTCATTTATCAGGGACTGTCCATTGTTGCTGTTTAAGATGTAGAAAGAGCTGTTATCTTAAGACAATTTATATTTAGTGATTTATCAATTTTTCTCTCACAAATGAACTCAAGAAATCATTGAGATTAATGAAGATAGTGATTTAGCATCACCATAGTGAACTATTAAATGGCTTCATGGTGTACATAAAATGTGTTCTGTTGATGATTTCTAAAGTTTGAGGATGAATGATTTTAGGTTTAGTACAATCAATTTTTATATAGCCTGGAAATTTTCTTTTAGCCAAACAGTCCTTTTGTTCAAAATGTATACATTATTTGGATTTTACTATCAGATGAGTTTTATATTGCAGTATATTCATCTAAAGCCCTTACTAAGCTAAACTGCTAGGACAATAAAGCACCTTTTTAAGGTTGAGGATATAGGCCAACCTTATAAGATTTGAGAAGAAAATTGTGAAAGATACTCATGAAAGTTACCATTCCTGAAAAAATAGTGAATTATGATTTTGAAATTGACAGGACTCCAGACATAATGAAAGTTATTGCATTTAGAACTCTTTCAGGTCGTGTTGAGGGCAGAAGCGGATTAAAGAATATTCATTAAGAATTTTTTTTCTAGCCATTAGCTTGGTAATACTATTGTAATATTAGAAAGTAAAATTTGCTTTCATCTGATGAAGATGTTGTATAAATAGATTGATTAAATATAGAGGACACTTAAGAAGAAGGCATGAAGATAAAAAAAAATTTTTTTTGCTTCAGTCTGTCTCTAAATTCTTTGCTATTATGTCAAGGGAGATTTTACTGATCTGCCCAATTAAGTAGTGAGTAGATTGATGATGGCATGAAGACTCAATTCAAAATGTGATTCTTCCTGGAAAAAGAAATAGATAGAAAATGCTGGGATTAAAACAGATTGAAAAGGCTGGACTTTTACGTAATATTCTACACTTCTAGGTATTTAAAATTTTAAGATATTGTCTTCAACTCTAAGTTAGTGTTTGTAGAAGTTAGTTTAACATTTTTCCAAACAAACTATTCTGATGAACATTTTAATGCAATACCATTATGGCATTAGTATTATGAAGATATAGGAATCACTGCTTATTCCTATTGTGACTAAATTTAATATATATTCTGAGAAATGTATTTATGTATCTTTATTTTCTTTGTTCCAGAATTATTTTAATATTTTGAAACAAATATTAAATGTTAACTATAATTATTCATAATAAAAAGTAAAATCTGCTGGAGTTTGTCTATTTCCATGTTATTTGTTCTTCAAAGAGAGTGTCTTTGGATTGAATAGTAGAGTTTATAAAAAAAAAGGGCTGTCCCACAATTATTTCAACTACATGTAAATATCATTTTCATTAGCTTTAAAATTATGCAAAACGTATCACCTTTGAAATTAACCTTTATTACATCCGAGCATAAGAATCTTAAGGCAACATTTGATATTGATTCATTCAATCCACTTCACTTAACTGTTGAAAAAAAGGTGAATAGATTTTAGTACATTATTCTTTCTGTTTTGTTCTTTAGTTCTTAGTTCCTTTTCACCTGCAAACACAGAATGGCTGAAAACAGGTATTTGCACTTATGCCATATAATTACGTCAGTTTGGTGAGGATTTGAAAATAGCAAAAGATACAAAAATATTGTCTTTGGCAGTAAAGTAGGCTCTGATTCAGAGCTGAAGTAGGAGAACTGTGAAGTTGCACATTTAACTCTGAAGACTTGCATTACATGCATAAAATGGTGATTGTTAATGCCTTAAATGTAAAACTCTACCACACTCATCACCATTTTATTATGCTATGTTCACTGGAGTGGGTCTCTATATTTAGAAGAACACCTCTCTGTCACTTTGTTTTTGCTTCCGTCTGTAAAAAACAGGATTAATGCATTTTCCATGACAAGCTGTAGTGGGTGTTGATTTACTTCATAAATTACCAGAAAATGATTAATGATAATATAATTATGAATTTGAGACAAAGGAGAAGGCTTTACTATTAGACACTGCCTATTTGTCTTACAGAGAAGAAAGACCGAACGATAAATATTAAGAAAAACGAACTATTGTCAGTTGTTTTCTCCAGAAATTCCTAAAGTATATTTGTTTTTTTTTTTTCCTTAGAATCCATTTTGTTTATGGGAAGAGTGACGAATCCCGACACCCAAGAGATGAAAGGAAGAGATTTAGATTCACTGTGAATGAAAAGCATAGGCTTAGAATAAACGATGACTTCTCGAAAATAGTTGATTGGCAAAAATATCACCTTGACAATATTTTCTCTACATCTTATTTCTTTTCTGTTTTAAACTGTGCCTGTAATAATAGAGATCTGTCTTGATGAATAAGTAAAATTAGGTATGCATTTGTTTCTGTTCTTTCTGTATGTTTTAGAAAGTCTATATGAATCTAAAGTAGTGAGTTTATATAAAATATTACCATTCATAAGTTAGAATAATCCTGTCTATAATATTTTAAATATCAAATTCTTGTCTTAGACAACAAATTTGTTATATCCTAAATACTGGACTATTAGACTCAGGCATAGCATCATTATCTAGCCATGGGGAAGTAAGATCAAGAGACCGCGGCCATGGTACATGCTTCTCTTAAGACACAGAGATCCAGTATTCCTGGCAGTAGAGGAGCTCTGGGTATTTTACTAATCTTAATTTATTTGACATAGTACATTTAATATTTACCTTGTTTCAGTTCCTTTTGGAACATACCAATTTTTTTTCTACTCATTTACGATTTAAAAATGTACACAAAGTAGAAATGCCGAGCACTTTCGTAAATGATTCTTCATTTTGTAGGTGAAAGTGGCAGCCAAATTAGTGTGACTCAGGAAGCTGACCTTCCACGAATTTTACAATACTGAGCCAAGGAAGTGTTAGAGTCAAGTTTGTGTTCTATAAAGATTAAATGCAGATCCCTTCCCATGAATACTTTGAAACATCACATCTAAATATCAAAAACTAAAACTACATTCTAGTATTACTTTATGCAGCATGTTTCACAGTTTTTCCGTTTTCAAGCTAATGATATAAAATGCCTTTTTGTTTGTTTGTCTTGGCAAGTTTGGCAGACAGCTTAATGATAATGGCTACATCTCACTGAGCTCTAATTGTGTGTTGGGCTTACTGAAGTAAGCACTTTTTACTTTATGTTAAATGTACTAAAATTTTTATGAAACAGTGTTACCTCACTTCCTGATAAAGAAACTAAGACTCAAAAAAGTTCTATAAATTAAAGACACATAACCAATAAATATCGTAGGTAGATTTGAATTCAGAACTACTTGAGCTAGAAGTCTGTGACCTTAATCACCAAGTTACATTCCCTTTGCAGGGAAGGAAAAAGTAATTTTCTTCTAATTCTCAGAGTTTTGAGCTAGTATCCCTTGTAATAAGAGACAGGACAGCCAAATGTGGTGGCTCATATCTGTAATCTTAGCACTTTGAGATGCTTAGGTGGGAGGATCACTTGAGGCCAGGAGTTCAAGACCAGCCTGGGCAACATAATGAGGTCTTGTCTATAAAAAATAAAAATAAAAAAATAGCCAGGTGTGGTGGCGCATGCCTGTGTTCCCAGCTACTGGATAGGATAAGGCAGGAGGATCACTTGAGTCCAGGAGTTTAAGGCTGTAGTGAACAATGATTATGCTACTGTGCTGTAGCCTGGACAACAGAGTGTTACCTAATCTCAAAACAAACAAACAAAACCAAAAGATTAACAAAGAAAAAAAGACATTTGTTAACACGTATACCACATGTACACATAGAAGATACCCAGGGAAAAATGAGTAAATCTCAAAGAAGTGGCTTAGAACTCTGGCTTACATAGCATCTTTGTCAAAGAACAACATGTTTCTGAAGAAATGACAAAGGAAAAGGACCTTGGATTTATAAGGGCAGTAAATTGTAGAAAGGCAAATATATGGTAGATAAAGGCTATTTTGTAAAATTTGTTGTGTAGATTCCTGTGGTGATATCTACAGGATGATAAGGGTCTTAAGTCATCTTCAGTGATCAAACTCTGTCCTACTTGGTAGAAAGAGGGGAAGGGTGGGGTGGGGGAGGGCAAATAATTTTTCCTGTGTCTACTTATTCTCAGTTGCCTTTAGCTCAAAATAATCCTTATGCCAAGTTGCATCTTTTGAGGTGCCAGATTCTGCTGCGCTTCCACTTCTACTTTAGTCTTCAAAGACTAGGTATCCATCTATAGCAAAACCTACAGCAATACTCAAGGCATTATGAAGCCAACTTTAGAATGAATTGTGATTGCTTAAAAATCATAACATAATTGAAAGAATGTTCATTCCTCTACTTTCAGTTTGAGTTTACTTATATATAACACAGTAAATACTAATCTACATTGTAGTGATACACATTTGGGGCATAAATTCCTCACAACATATCTGTTTTAAAAATGGGAGTCTGTGATTCAGGAAGGAGGGAATAGTGAGTTAAGAGGATAGTAGTTGTATTCAGGTGTGGCCCAGATTCCTGTTTCTCTTGGGTTGCCTGAATTCTTCTGATCCTTTTTGATGCATCATATGTCATGCTCTGGGGATTGATTCATTCATTTCACAAATATTAATTGTTCTTTGACCATGTTCCACGTACTTTTCTAAGCACAAGGGATATATTAGTGAGCAAATCTGTCAAGGTGCTTGTCTTCCTGAAGCTGACATTTTACTGGTAGCAGTAAACCAGTGAACAAATACAAAAACAAGTTAACTTCAAATGGCAATAACTGATGACACTAATAAAACAAAATAAGAAAAGAGGAATTTCAATAATTGAGATAATAAGGTGACTATCCAAGTTTCACTTTAAGTACATGTTCTTACAATATGTTCCTAATGTATCTGTTTCCTTTAATAAGATTTGCTAAACGTCAGCCTCAAGTTCCCTACTGAGGATCCTGAAAGCATTATATAGACGTTGGATAATTTTTTTTTCTTCTGATTTCGTGTTCTTCCAGTTTGTGTTATTTGGCTTAAAAATGGAAGCGTCTTCCATACGCTCTTTATGGAAGAATGAGTAGCCTTCTGGTGTGAATTCCAGCTAAAAAACACCCTTTTCTACCCTGCTTTGGGCATACAGTTGCCAAACCATTTCTAAAATTAAAACATTTAATCTTTACCTTCAATTGCAAGTAACTCAGTAGTTATTACAAGTTCATATCATAAAGGTTACAAGTGTCCAGAACACATTTAGAAAACATAAATCTATTTATGAAGGAAAGTAAGTATGAGAAAATTTTTTTTCCTAAACTATACAAAATCTGTAGGATTCGCAACAGTCCATAATCAACATGGGATAAAATTATTGTCAAATTAACACCCCTTGTAAAAGTCTAGTATGTAATATATATTGGAAATATTTTTACTCCTCATGGAGGCAAATTAATTATTAAAACAGTATTTCCGTTGGAAACTTTGAAATCGGTTTTCACTGACTTCACATAGCTATAATTCTTGGCATATTCTAGAGAGAAGCTGTTACTGAACTGAACTTGGGTCTGCCTGCCTGGCACAGCAAGGCCAAACAATGACGTGGAGATTTGCAATAAGAAAGTGAGGCATTTATTGCAGGGCAGCAGGCAGGAAGAATCACGCAGCTCATGTTTAAGACCTGAAGTACCCAGTGGCTTAACTATAAGGTTTTTTAAAGGCAGGGAGGCAGACGTTACAGGCAAAGCCATAGGTCGATACATGGAGGCTACACATTGGTCTGGCCTGAAAAGGTGGGACATCTTGAAGCAGGTGAGGGGGAGTGTGGCATGGCCCACAGATCACAGGTGGATTCAAATATTTTCTGATTTATTATTGGTTTGGCTTTGTCTAAAATTTTGGGTCAGCAGAAAGGAGAGTTGAGCTCTGGCCTGTGAGCAAAATTTCCTTCAGTCCCCTCAGGAAGAAATTTAGAACAAAGAATGACAGAATTTAGTTCTCAGTTCCCCCTTATCTGAGATCTATGTGCCAGCAGATGGCTTTCCATGTGGTGAGGGGTCCAGGTTTCTGAAAAACAACTCAGGGACATATGTGAGGATTTCATCTTTAGTTTCTATAAAGAACCAAACACTGGCTCTAGCTTCCTTGGCTATCGTTTTAAGCTATTACTGCATTCTTGCTTATCAAGTTGCTCATTTACTTCTCAGGGCTAGGTTGGTGGCTGGAATTTCCCCTGAAGGAACTCGAGATTTTTCTTTTTTTCCATGCTTTTGGGGTGGCAGGCCCCTAGGAGAGATCCCTGTTCCTTCTCAGAGTCTGCCATATCAGGTGGTACAACCGAAAGACCTGAGAAAAGGAACAATTTCTTTCTTTGGAGAGGCTTATAAAATTCTCTTGAATTGGTAAAAATGACCTGGAAACCTTCAAAGATACAGAGAAAACTTTAGGTACGTTTCATTAAAGGTCTGTGCCTTGGACCTCTGGAAATAAGATACTTCCTCACTGTATAGCCTTACACCATTGAAGCATACTCTATGAAGGACCGACCCCCTGAGCCATGGATCAGCCTGAGTCTGACTACATGCATTTGGCAGAAGTGTGGGTCTACTTATTTTGTTTTCTTGCAAGAGCATTTTACTCTGTGATTTCTGCCCCACTCCCTCATTTTCATGCTTTCTCGTGATAATCTCTAAATCTGAAGCCTAAAATTCAAAATGTTAATAATCTGGATCCTTTCACCTTTTGATCCCTCAAATGACCACCCTGATGATATAAAGAAATTGAAAGATATTTTCACTGTCCAACGTTATAATTTTTGGCTTGTCATATCAATTCTCCGGAGCTTCAATGGCCTCACCTATAAAATGAAGGGTTGGTTGGATGAATCCTATTTCAAGTCTTTATTCCAAAGTTCTGTGTTGGCAACTCTTGGGCTTCTCCTCAAAGACACATCTTTGAAACAATGTCTTTTGAGTCTTTATTGTCTATATGCAGTTATTTTACACAAAACAAAAATAAATTCCATATGTACTTCTCACAAGGATCTTGATCTATTATGTTCTTTATTAATAATTGTCTCTTTATAGGTTTGAGATTTATATTTTTAAAAACAGCATATATATAATTTTACTTTTGTGTCAGAGACCTATATCTAGTAAAGTTTCTTGACTGCCATTTTCAAATGTAGAGCTGTTGCTGGGCAGTGGTGGCCTCACTAGGAAATTCTATTCATCTACCCTTGCCTTTACCTAAGTGGAGCCTTATAATTGGTTCTCATCAATGGAATATAATAGAGATGAGTGTGTCACTTGTGAGTCCAAATGGTTAAGAAACAAGCGTGTCTCCCTAACTGTTCCCTTCTCTGGTACCAGCTTGATGCCAATGTTCAAGGTGACCCTGTAAGCCATATTTA